GGTTTTGGGTTTGGGGTTTAGTGTGTACTCCGGCCTCGTAGTACGAATATGGGGACTGCTTTAAGGCCAAGGTATAGACGAGTTGGGCACATGGACCCTTTGCTGCCGAATTTGCAATTGCCCTCAGCAAAGGCCCGATCGCTTTTCGGCCCAGGGGTTAGAGTTTGGTGTTTTTAGGGTCCGGGGCTTTACCTGACACTGGTCCCTGGGTATTCAAATCGCCAGAAAGGTTAGTCATGGCAGTCGCGAGTCTATTTCGTTCAACACTGAAAATTCACTAAGCCTAGACAAACCGGAAAGCCTTGACTGCCCTAAACCCTATAAACCCTAAACCCTTAGGGTTTAGGGTTTAGGGTTTAGGGTGACCCCCTGAACGCCACCTGATTCACCACAGATCCCAGATTTGTTCCTTGGCGGCCTGGCTCGAGTCCTCCGACGCAAATCCGAATCAAATGTCACTTAGATACGACCTAAACCCTAAACCCCTAAACCCTATAAACACTAAACCCTCAACCCTAAACCCCTAAACCCCTAAACCCCTAAACCCTAAACCTAAACCCTTAGTACACCCCCGGCTGCCTCGGACTCGTCATCAGAATCCTTCTTCGCAGCTTTCTTCTTCTTCTTGCTGATGATCTGTTCTACCTCAGAGTATAACCCAAGGGTTTAGGGTTTAGGGGTTTAGGGTTTAGGGTTTAGACCCGAACACCACTTGAAATAAGGATACAGACGGAATCACACTGGCTTTACTTCTGTTCTAAGTTTAACGGTTTGGGGTCCAAGTTTTCTGCTCTCACTAGAAGGGCCTATTCCGGGTTTATACAGGGTCTTCGCAATGTGAATTTGAACACAGGCTGTTCGTCAAACGTCTTTCCCAGGGAATCGAAGTACATTCTCGCTGGCACAGTTGCTTTTATAGGGGTGCTTCGCAGAATACAGATTTCCGACGCGGTGAACTCATAACCCAACTTGACGGAAAGGGAAATTGCATACAGACTCCAGACGAACTTGCTTGCAAACCCTACATCCGACACCGAAGGGAAACCCTAAGCCCTAAACCCTAAACCCTAAATCCTAAATCCCAAGCCACTAAACCCAAGGCCCTAGACCTTCATCGCAACCCTTATACGGAACCCTTATAGTAGTATAGTACAGTATATCATAGTAGATTATAGTACATTATAGTACATTATAGTATAGTATTCTAGTATAACCATGGCAGTAACCCTAACCGCAAGCCTTCTTAGAAATACACGCCTTCATAGCATCTAGCCGAGGGTCCTCCTCGTCGGAGTCCTCTGGTTCGGCCTTCTTTGCTTCTTTCTTTGATTCCTCCTCGTCCTGACCGCGGGGTAGCAAGGGTAGGGTTTAGGGTTTAGGGTTTAGGGTTTAGTTCATACACGGGCCTTAATAAATGATTAGAACAGGGTTTTGGGGTATACTATATACTATA